TGTGCATCGCGCTGGCTCTGAACTCTCTCCTGATTTTAGGCTTGCCTTATTTTAGGCAAGGATCCAACGCAGAGCGCCCTGGCAGGGCGGTTTCTGAGACCCGGGATAGCTTTTATTTACCAGCGAGCACCCAGAAAATCCTTGCACCTGTAGCCAGGCAACTTCGTCCTCTTTTCTGCTGCCAAAACGCGAGTACGCTCCCCCAGAAGGAGCTTATTTGGAGCTGCCTGTAAGCCATGTGCGTAAATGACATACTGCCTTTGGTAATTATGTCGGAGCCCTTTCATGGAGCATGCTCTGAGAATCGTTAAATGCCCCTGGGAATGGCTTTCCAGGGAGTCGGGCGATGCTGCTGGAGCTGGGAAGGCATTGTTATTAAAATGGTCAATAAAAGTGCGAACAAGGGATGGAAGGCATCGGTCCTCGTTAGGGGAGGGAGGAGAATGAACCGAAACAAAACAGAAAACCAGGCTGGGAGGTGTCCAGAGTTATTTTGGCAGTCTGGATTTCTGGACCGAGGTGCCAAATCACAGCTGTGTAAGAGACTTATTCCCAGTTTACAGAAGCACTGAACAATTCAGGCAGCATTGTGCTACCTGATTTTTTTTTTTATTATTATTTTAATTTTTTTTTTCTCCTGAAGGGTGGAAATTAGCACTGGCATGAAAGGACAGGGAGCTCGTTAGTGCAAGCTCGTTACCTGCCTCCTTGGCCTGCAGCCAAGGTGGGGAACAGCCAAGGTGAGAAATGTCGATGTCCCGGGGCTCGCCTGCCCCATCCTGTCTGCTGAATCGCTCCTGGAGAGCTCAGACCTCTTCCACCAACTCGAAACAAATCGGTGTCTGTAAATATTTCCTACCATCTATTTGGTCTATTTTTAGCAATAGCTCTTTTTGTTTTTCTTGGCCAAAGTAAAACAAAGGGAAACAGAGTCCTTGGGGATTACAAATGGCTTGTTTATGAAGCAGGAGTGTCATTAACAGACTCGCTAGCAATCTTCATAAATGCATTAAAGTACTTTTCTTCCTTAATCACAGAAGGATGACTCCTACTCAGCGCAGGGCGACTCCAGCACACAGCCCAAGCTGTGCCGCTCCTTCACCGGTAAGCTGGGGAATCCTTCTGTCCTTCTATTTCTAGTATTTTCTTCTTTTGTAATTGTCTTTAAACAACGAACTAAGAGCTTGCTAAATAAAGAGCCGCAGAATAGCTGGCCCTTTCTCCGCACAGAGGTGCCTTACTGCAGGTTTGCGAGAGCGGATGGAAGGAACACAACTGGGTGGCGTTCGTGAGTTCGTAGCGCGGACATCTGCCAGGGATGTAGTTATTTCAATCCACAGTTTATTATAAATAAATGCTTAAACTATGTTCTTCCTGAAGAAAAACATGAGCAGAGCAAAGTGATAAGCAGTAGTGTTTCTGGGTGGGGTTTATTATATTGATCCAGAACGTAACATATTTCAAAGTACAAGGGTTTAAATTGCGTGCTTTTTTTTTTTTTTTTAAATCCAAACACTGATCCTTGTCTTCTGTTTTATAATTAAAAAGTGATCCCTGCAGTGGAATATCTCATCCCCAATGAGCAAATTGTCACTTCACCAGCTCTTGGTATTTCTTCATTCCTGTCGACCCGCAGAGGAGAACATCTCTCATACAAGTTGGTGTTTTTTCTCTTCCTGCAGTGGGGGATGCAGAAAAAGTTCGGGAAGTGAAACGGAACCGGTCGAAGTCGGTGTGTGTCATCCCACCGCCACAGCCCAGCGGGATGGCCTGGGGTGAGAAGAAAGAAACGGAGCAAGAGCTGACTTTGGAGATGTAAAAGCATGAGCGATGCTGCGTCATGCTTCACATGATGGGTCCGACCGTTTCATGGGTGGCTGCTATCCGTGTAGATAATGTAAATAAGACGAATATCGACAAGGACAGCGTGAACAGGGCAGAATATCCTGAGTGGTCTACAAAACACGTGCTCTCATTGCACGAGGCGGGGTTTTTAAAGGGGACCAAGGGAAAAGACGCGCAGCTGAGCACTAGCAGCACGAGGTAATGTCTGGGAGAGGAGCTCAGGAAAATTGGTCTGATCAGCCTGGGAAAATTGCTGAAACTGTCTGCAAGTGCAAGAAAGGATGTTTTAATAAGGTGAGATATCAGATCTTCTCATTAGTCAGCAGGGGACAGACTAAACAGCGGGGAGCATTTAGATTATATGTTAGGAAAAACTTTAGAATCTCAAGGAAGGTTTTATTAGGCAATGGAGCATGCCACCAGGAAAGACAGCAGAAACAGCGAAAGATCTCTTCTGCTCCTCAGGAACTGATGGGTCCTGACTACAAACACTAATCACGTGAAGCCCAGAGTTAAACCACAGAGTTAACTAAGGCGTTGTGTCTTGCCAGAGGTACTGCCCCACACCTAGACACAGTTCTTTTAATGAAAACTTATTACAGCTGTGTTAAAAGAGGAAAATACATTCTTACCGAGTTTTTAAAATTTATTTAAGAAATGGTTCACCTCAAAAAATAAAACGGGGAAGCTCTAAATCCAGTGACAATAGCAGGAGAAGAGCGTGCCAGCCCTTAAACAGATGGGCCAGCCTCGTGCTGTGGCTGGTGGTTCGCAGCAAGCAAAGGCAGAAAGATCTCCGCTGCCGTGGCCGCGGGCCGAGGCTCGAATGCGTCTCCTTAGAAGATGCAGTGGAGAAAGGGACCCAAAACCTCGCCGCTGTGGAGCGCTTCTGCCGGGAGAGGTGCCATCCCCTTTGCAGAGCAGATGCAGACATGCTCCAGGGACAGCACCTGAGGAATCTCCACATTTGGGTAATTCTCTTTGAAACTCCAGGTGGGCGTTCAAGCCTTTGAATTCTTGTCCTTAGCTGAACCCAATAGGCTAAGTTTTAGTGTTGCAAACATCCACATTTTTCTTTCTCTAACCCTTCCCCTGCACTGAAGGACCCAAGAGCATTTAATCTTAAAGAGCGGCCAAAGAGACTCTTTCTGAACTGAAAATAAAGGAAATTGTAGGAATTCGCATACTCCCCTCCGTGGTATTTTTGGACTTCCAGAGCCAGTCTGCTGTGTGCAGAAATACTCCATTAGGAGACCACTGCCTGGTACACCGGGACCTTTGTTTTAAACTAAAGACACCACATTGTGTGTATTTACAATGACACGGAGGTCTCGTTTTCATCTGAACAAACGCCTTTATGATGTCGTGACATAAGCTGATGTATTTCATTTTGACTTGAAGGCCACTGGAAGTTCACCTCACTGCAAATGAAAATTGGACCTTTTAGCCTTAGATGTGTATTCTGTGTGTGTGTATATACATAAATGTGCATATTTACTGATTTTTAGTATGAGTCCATTGTTGTCTTCAGCTACTTTATTAAAATTTTGGCTTGTTTCTTAGTTTAATCCGTCTCGCATGGGAGTTACGTGGATTTGTCTACGCTTTGTTTAGAAAACTGCCCATCTTTGAGGATGTGATACTCGTGTTCCACGTTTCTATCTCAATTAAATGTGCTGTCTTATGAGATCTTCTACGGGTTATTACCTCCTTGCATCCGCAAAATGCTCACGGTGATGTCAGCGGTAGCCGGTGACATGCGGGGGGTGTCATCAGTCCGGCACAGCGAGCTCGGCAGATCCGCTTTGAACAGCGGCGCATTCAGCTCTGCCCCGTGCAACCCTTGGCCAGTGATCACAACATCACGAGCAAGGCAAGCGATTGTAAGGAGTGAGAAAAATGGTTTCTTTATGGGCGTAACAAGGGAGGGGGGGAAAAAAAAATAATTGCTGAATCTGAAGGTCCTTGGCTATCTGGGGTTGAAATATTCGCTGTTTACCTGCAGTTTAATGTCCACAGTGTTTAAAATTTCTCCTTAAGTTCTGCACAGTAAATAGCTATAGAAAGATTTACTAAGATGGGTCCTTTTTATTCTGTAGCTGGAGAGCAAAAAGGAAAATAAATCAAGTTGCTTGCCAAGGAGTTTTTAATCAAGTTTTTTTTTTAAATCAAGGATAGCAACTTTGTGAATCCCTTGGCTGATTCTTGCTTGCAGGAGGTTTTTTGGTTTTGTTTTGGGGTTTGTGGTTTTTGTTTTGTTTTTTTACTTTTTTTTTTCCTTTTGGCTTCTGAACTGTCTTGCTTTTGTCCTAAATATCTGGATGCCTGTACTGTCTTTGTCTTGTACGTCATCCATCATGCTTCTGGGTATTGGGTACTTAAATAATGATCTTTTTGCATTTGAGTTTCCCATCATGTAAAATGAGTTCTCTGCAATATTGCTATGGGTTACCAAGGACCTTATCAAGTGGTGACTGGTTTTGGCACACGTAGATTCCTTTATAATCTTGTAGTAGGCAGCAGAAATGATGATTGGAAAAATCAGGGCACTTTGAGAAAACAGAACTGAAATTTTATCAGGTATGGAAAAAAGAAAAAAAACCCAAAACCAAAAAAACCCCACCCAAACATTTTGCTTGCATTTTTTCGAAATTGTACATTTTCATCTCACTTTAGCCCAACGAGACATTATGATGGCAGGATCTCCCAGCTTCTAGCAATTCCAGATGCTGCTCGGCTCCAGGCGTGCGGCTGGGCATGCGTGGCAGAGCGGAGGCTGCGGCAGGTTCCTGCCATGCTCCCGGCTCCAGCCATCCCCGCGTGCCTGTGCACATGCACTGGCCTGATCCTGCGCAGACCCCAGCCCGTTAATCCCCTTCAACCCTGCTTTGCAGTGCTGGGACCGTAAATACCTCTCTGCTGTATTAACAATTTGCTTGATCTGCAGAGAAGACAATATTCTGCGCGGTACATACTTTCCCAATGAGTCACTCTGCCCCAAATTTAACCTTCTAGATGCTATGGATTTTTTCTTAAAGTTTCTTTACAAAATATAATAGCACAGCTAAAGCTTTCATGAAGTATTTTCCAGTTGCTTAGTGGCCAAGCCCTCTGACCAGTATGTATTTCAGCCCAGAATACCTTTGATAATCTTTGCCAGTATCCAGTGTTGGTGGTCTTAAAATTCTACAACTGAGTGAAAAAACTGTTAAATGCTCAGGCTTCAGAGCATGCCTAATTAATTCTTTGCAGGGTTTTAGTCCTTTAAAAAGTGTTAAAAACACAGATTCAGTGTATCATTGAATATTGCATGGTTCTGGGGAAATAAATTGCATCAGTTTGATTCCTTGAGTAGTTGAGAGAGTTATTGCTCTGTGCTTACTCTGGAAGTGTACAGGAGTCTTTTGAAAGTTAAGGTTAAAACAGGCAAAAGTTGCTAATGATGGGGAGTAGCTCAATGGCAAAGTGTGAGCTCAAAAACTACATCAGAAAAGTCTGGGCGCGTAGATCAAGCAGCCGCATTCACCAATCAGGCTGTAAATCTCCCTTGCCCTCGCAACTCCAAAAAGTATCAGTGTTCAGCACGCGGACTTTTTTTTTAATTTTTATTTTGACCAGAAAATCACACTTGCATTTATTTTATTTCACAATTGCTTAAGGAGATTATAATGGCTTAGTCCTGGAAAGTGCTGGCAACACTTAAGAAGGAGGTGAGGCAAATTGAGCTTTTTTTCTCTCCTGATATCAAGTGCCGGGGGTATTCAACCTCAGAAGAAACATTCAGGATCTTTCAACATACAGGCTTATGTGCTCCTTCCAAGAGACATGTTGACGGTAGAGATGAAGAAGGAGCATGTGATGGAGATGAACGAGCGATTATAACTTTAATGCAGAATTAAAGGGGCAAACGTCAATATGGATATCTATTCCTCTCCCTTCCCGCGCAGCTCATGCTGGGGGGGCTGCTCTTGGCAAAACTATCCGGGGATGTTGGTGCCATTTCCAAAGCAAAGTTGGCAACGCTTGAGTAGCACTTTTCGAGGGCTGGATGGCTTTGCTCTCCTCCGTTTCTTCTTGTTCTGAGGTTCGTGGAAGCAAGAGTAAAGGCAGAGACCCACAAGAGCTATTTGCCCCATCTACCTTGGGAAACATGACGTGGGACATCTTTCAGAGCAGGGCAGATCATCAGGGTAAGCTTCAATGCACAGAGAGGTAGGCAGATCTCCAAAGGGAATCGGGGAAGTCACTGAAAGCAGACCCGAAATCACGTCTCTTTATAAAATAGGAAAAAATCCCTGCTTTCAGCATGAGAGTGTGAAAATATGTTGATCTATCTACACAATGTATAATTTTTTCTGCAAGCATGGATTAAAACACAAAAAATAATGATAACTCTGATTCTGGGAAAAATCCAAGCTGACTAGCCCCAGCTCCTTGCTAGAGTACGTATGTTTTGGAGACTCACAATTCCAGTTTAAAAGTTTAAGGGCAAAAAATCATCAAGGTCAATTAGGAAATAAAGGTCACTAAAACACCCAGGATGTGACTTCCCTTTCCTTACACCTAGGTCCTAGTGCTGTGTGTGGTGGCACCCTCACTGGGTCTCTCTGGATGCAGGCAGCTCCGTGCTGGGACCAGAAGAGGTAAGGGCCCACTGGCAGGGCCGTTATCCTGGGTAATTAAGTGCTATTTGCATCGGACTATTGCACGGATCATGGGTGATGCTCAGTTAATAACACCTACCTCGCCTTGGTGTGGCACTCCAGAGATCCCAATGCAAGCTACAAAGGACAATTAACATCGTTACCAGTTTCTATAGGCTTAGAAAGTGTGGCAGGACATTATTTTTTGTGTGTGTGGTTTTTTTTAGGATGGGTATCCTAAGCCTGTTGCTATAGTGCTCCAGGGGTGTTATATTAATTCAGGCACCAGCTAGTGATGAGGAGGCTGTAGACTAGTCTGGGATGATTGCTCCCCTCTGGGGCTTCCCCAGACGAAGACCTGCCTTCAGGCTGGCAGAGGAGCTCCTGGTCTGCCCAGCACCGGTGCATAAGGTAGCCTGTTTGACAGGTGGAGACTTGCTTTGTAGGAGGAAACAAGCGTGGTCCTAACGGTCATTCAGGCCAGCCAAGAGCTGCATCACCTTCTGGAGGTGCCTCTCGGACCTCGTGCTGAGGGGTGGGGTGGACCGGGCAGAGCATCTGCGGGACCCGGGGCCAGTGGGGCAAGTGGTCGGTACCAGGGCTTGCTGCTCCTGGCTGGGAAATAGTTTCTTTCCTTCTCTAAATTAAAGAACATCTCTGCTGGAAGAGTGAAACCAGACCTCCTTAAGCCCTTGGTGGGGCTGAGAGGTGGAGAGTGAAATCCCATTATGGTAGGGAAATCGCAAATCTACTATTGATTTCAGGATTTATCCTGCAGTATTTTTGTATAATAAAAGGACTTTTATTCCTGGTTTGTCCTCCCCTGCCCTGCAATATGTTGCAAACCCACAAAGGGTTGCGGAGCTCAGGCTGGGCAGATACTGGACCATCCTTGTGGCCTCACTGTGCTTTGCTCATGGCTTCCCAAAAAACAAGTGCTGGATGCCCATATTGCCGCCCCAGCTCTGCCGTCTGACCCCCAGCACTCTACATGTTTCCCGGAGGGGCGACATTTCCACACAGAGCTCAGGTGCAAAGGCAACATCATAAAGCAGCCCAGGGAACAATAAGATGAAAAAATACGGATTAGTTGATCATAATTTTAAAAAATATTTTATTAAAAATTTGACATTGACATAGGTATTTAATAATTGCTTTCATCTATTTGATGGATATAAAAAGGTGTTTTGACCTCCAGGACGGAACTTTTTCTTTGAAAATGTTGAAATGAAACATTCATAATTAAGAAATGCCTTTCCTAAAATTTTTCAAGAGGCATTCACTCACCCTAGCCCATTCCTCAAAAATTATTTGGCTTTTAAAGCCAACATTTTCTGATTAGTTCATCAGAAAATCCCCAGCCCTTTCTAACTGCAGAGGAAGGGAGGGGGGCTGGAATGATTTATTGGTGGCTTTCTTGCCATTTCTTCTCTTTTTTTTCCCTTTCTTTTCTTCTAGTATATGTGTGTCCTGTCTATTAACGAGGCTGTCTATTGCATTGTATAAAATCTATATGAACAAAATGCTTGCACAAAAGGAAACCAGAAAGCTAATTTACACTTTGAAACTGGAATGGGTCAGAATCTTATATTTAATAAAGATGTTTTTTTCTGAAGAGTAAAGGAACTATTTTATCTATTAATTTAGTCTGTAAGACTAAAAATTCTTATGAAAAAACATTCCTATTATAAAAATTTTAATTTTATCTCATTTTTTCCCCAAGCAATGGGGAAATAGAGAAGGAAGGGGGTTGCAAAAGGCTGAGCGGGGCTGATGGAGTTTGCTCCTCTGGTAGCCCCCCCAGCCCATTGGCATGCGGTGCCAGCACCTTCTGGGCTGACTGGACGCGATGGGATTGATGTCTAATTAAAAAAAAAATAATAATAATAAAGTTGAACAGAAGGAAACATAAGGGGGCTGTAGCCCCGTCACGTGCATTAGCCGTCCCCAGCAAGGCTGGGTGCTCCCACCAGGTGCTGCTGGAGCAGCTGCCGGTGCCCCAGGCACGTTCTCATTGTCCATCATGTCCAGGAATTTTTCAGACCCTCATGGTGATGAGCATGTGCGTGGGAGCACGCCAAGGAGAAGGGAAAGCTCGTTGCATGGAGAGACGTTTTGACCTTGCAAACTCAATTCCTGTTCCACAGCCTAAGAATTTGGAAAATGTTTGGCTGGGCACGTAACAGCCCATGAGGAGCCAAGGCTGGGCACCAGCACTGCTCTGCCTCAGCCACGCAGGGGTTTTTCTGCCAATGGGACCGAGAATTGCTGAGGACACTTTCCAAATGGCAAACAGCGCTAACCTGCGAATATGCATTAGCATAAATACAGCAATGCCAAATACAGCTGACTGAAAAGGACACACGTAAATGTGGAAGTGTGCATTAATCCCTTTTTTTAAAAAATACAAGAGTGCCCACTTTGCATTTTAATTTTATGCAATTGCAGTGCAGTCTGCAAAAAAAAGTCCTCACTTCTGGTGTGCAAACTCTTGTCTTCACCCAGCTTCTGCAAGCATTGCCAAAGCTCCCCCATCGTTGTGTTCAGCTTTGAGATACAGATCACAAGAATAGGCGGCAACTGATTTTCCTTGTCACTTCAGACAGGTTTAACCAGTGTTACATGTTAGTTAAACAGCAACTGATTGAAATGACACTTATTGAAGATTGATTAGGTGATGGATATATTGCACTTTGTATTTAATCAACCATTTTATATTCAATACAAAGAGGTCATCTCATTGCAGCAATCGTTGCCTGCGAAGCAACCAAATGATGGCGAGATGGATATGTCATCCCAGTTCAAAACTATGGAAAAAGAGTCGATGTGCTGGGCTGCCCAGGGACAGGCTGGGAGAAGGTCAGTATGTGTGTAGGTATGGGATGAGCAAAGGTGATGGGAGGGTTGGCCAGAAGCACCTACGTGCAGACACATTGCAGTAGCTGGGATCACTTCCAGCGAAGATGATAGCTAAATGCAGGAGGGTGAGTAAGTGGCCAGGAAGGGACAGAGCGTGTTTATTCACGCAGAGTTACAGGGCTGAGGAGGGCTCGTTTCCCAAGCAGCACTGCCGAGAGGGCGCGAGAGGAGTGGAGCTGGTCCCCCATGGGCACGCCAAGGGTCTCAGTGTCAGAAAGATTTCTCCTCTCCCTTACCTGACTAAGTAGCGTGCTTGGAAGAAAAGGAATGGTTAAGCAGGCTGGAGACATGAAACATATTTTCACTTCCCTGAAAATGGCCTTTGTACCGCAGCTGTCCCATCAGATGCACTTCCACTGCTCCCTGTTTGAAGGCTGCGCAATGATGTCTCTGCCCGCGAGAGCAGCGTTCAGCCCTGCCGTGAGGACTTCCATCTCGTTATACTAACATCAGGAGGCATTCTTCCATTTTAGCGACCAAGATGTAAACCTAACCTTTGAGACAACCCGTTGGCTCTGTCCTGCAGCTCCCTCTTGCCTTGCTCGCCCACCATCTGCCGCACCATGCCAGATGCAATGACATCTTCTGCCCTCCTTGCACTCTTGCGCCATGCAGTGCTGCTCTGGCTCTAACGGGGCTGCGGTGACTGTGGATGAGTTTGGACCTTGCATGATGGTAAGTCTGCAACCTCTCCCACCTTTCCTTTCTCCACATGTCAATGAGGAGACTTTTATGGGCAGGGACCTGTTTCCTGGATCCTACCAGATGCCTCACGTGCTCGCCGTCAGGTTAAACAAACAGCAGCTCTGACAGTGAGAAAGAGAGGTCTAATGTATTATTTAAAAACTATTCCAGTTTGCAATATTTAAGAAAGAGCAATGCAGAGAGTAGAATAAATTATTATAATTTAAAGTCTATTGTGCTCATAGAAGAACAAGCACATTCATCAGTCCATATGCCTCAACAGTTGGCTAGAAGTGTAGTCAAAATTTTACCAAAGTCTCTCCAGTTTCCCTAACCAGTGTGCAGTTTCTCTGCAATACCCATATGTGCATGGTTAAGTTTAACTATTAAATTGATTCAGAAATTAATTTGGCAACACAAAATCCCATAAGATAAGGACGTCAACATCTTCATTTATCCCCCTTTTTAGAACAGGTCATGACTTAGGCTAAGGTTGGAAAATCAGAACTTGAATTTTCGCTGTAATTTAAATTTCCTCCCCCAGACTCCTGGCATGTCACGGGAATACAGTTATTGTCCTACAGAAATTATAATTTTCCTAGTCTGGCATCCTGTTCCTGGCAGTGATCTGCAGCAGATGCTCCAGCAGAAGACAAAAACATTATGAACCAAATGGCAATGAAATTCCATGCAGGAATGTCCTCGTCCCCATGAGACGCTTCTTCCAGAGCAGGCTTGGGCAGTGGGAGGGGTATGGATGCTATATAGTCCGCTCTTCTGTGGCATGAGAGAGAACATCCTTCTGCAACTGCACAGCAAGATGCTCTAGGTATAGTGGTATGTACACCTGGTTTTAACGCTCCTTGTCTAGGTAGATGTGAACCTGCCTGATTTAAATGTGTTTGCACGGGATGATACATCACTTGTGAGAGCAACAAGATTTTAAGAGATATTTAAGAGATATCACCCACATTTTAATGTTATTGCTTGGATCTCTGGGGTTGCTTTGTGTGAAAGGTGCGATAGCGTTTTGTTCAGAGGCAGCAGGAGATGCAGGAGATGCGTATTCCACAAGTGCCACTTCTATACCACACATGGCTAACAGTATCTCAGAAACTGCAGACTCCACGACATGGTAAAGATCTTCGAGTCCAGACCTGCTCATGCCATGCACAGTCTCTCTGCTAATCTTATGCACAAACAAGGTTTTAAAAACTCTCCAGTGTCCTGGGCAGTTCTGCGTCGTTGCCACTCATGACCTATGGACGCTGCCTGACCGGCCGAGGCTGAGGGCTCTCTGCCCCGCTCTTCTGAAATGAACAGCCATATGGTTATTTGGAAATCTTCCTGCTCTGTCTCAATAGCTATTTGTCATGTTCCCTAATGCCACAGCTGTTTGGTTACGGCAGGTCATCTGCTTTTATTAGTCCTGTTCCCACCACCCACTGAAACTCACACCAGCCAGGAGGAGATTCTTCTCCGTGCCCAAAAATAGCGCTTCTCTCGTCCCCCTCTTCCAGTGACCCTGGAAACTCCAGCGTTTTCCTCCTCCTTTTCTGATTTCCAGTTCTGCTCCCTACCCGCTGCCCCATGAAGGCTGGAGTAGCTGCTCTCACAGCCGGGATCCTCGGCGGCACCGGCGTGTTGCTCTTCCTTATCGCTTTTGGGACGGATTACTGGCTTCTGGCTACAGAGACCTGCGGCGTCTTTGAGCATGGGAATAGCACCCTGCAGACCAGGGAGGTAAACTCTGAAATCTTGCCTTGCTTCAGAAGAGAAAGAGTCGACTTATTTAAATAATTTGCTCTAAAGGGAACACAAATACTTTTAATTTGGGTGCTGGCAGTTTTTAATCTGTGATAATGTTTATGCTCATCGAAAGTGACCTGCTAATGTAAAACATCAGCCTGAGCTAACTTTAAGATCCAAACCAGCTTTTCCATAGTATCTAGCGTTTTGACTGAAGTGAAGTGCGTCTAGGAAACATTAAGACAGCACCTCTGTAATCTGGCAGATATAAACATTAGGGAATGAAAAGCAAAAACATAAGAGCTTTACTTGTTGACAGCATTTGCCTCTAAAGACAAAAGATATCTCCTGATATTTGCCATTAAAAGATTTCTCCCTCAGTTATTTCTTCGTTTAAACGTAATTCAAATTTTAAAGTACAGGATTTGGCAATCATTTACATCTGAAGTGATATGACTACAGCACAGGTGGAAAACAAAAGCAAACATCAGATGCAGAGCAGAGTAGGCAGGAGTTCCTGCCCATCTAACAAGAGGAGGCCTATATATTTTAAAATTAAAATGTATATAGGATTTTAGTTAGCAGAAGATGTGATTTTTGAAGGACAACTTGGTATTTTAGTGCTAACTGCTTACTTGCTTCTAGATCCTTTCAAAAGTTTGACTTTAGCTGCACTTGCTATTGTCTAACTCTTCAATGAAATAACAACCAGATCAGTTCCTTGAGCCACCCACTCTTCAAAAATGTTTTTGTGCCGATCAATGTGTGGTTTCAATTACAAAATGACAGGAAGATCCTTGTTGTGTGCAGACTTTTTGTTATTTCAAAGTTCAATCCAATTAGATTTGATTATTTTTTTTTTCTGGTGTGGTGAGTCACGCTGGGTAAGCGTCATGATGCCGGCAAGAAATATTTTCTTTCATTTCAGAATCCCATAATCAAATGTAGGACACTGTTCACTTGAGTCACATTTCCAAATGACTTCCTCTATTGAAAAAATAATATTTAAGATAGAAAAACTGCCTGGCAGAAGACACTGTCTTTGCTGTTTAAAGCAGCACAGTAAAGCCCCGGAGATGGCAGAGTCACAGACAGAGGAGCGTCGCTCAGTTTTTATGCACTTGGGAAATGACAATGTTAATTGTTCCGGATTTTTGCTTGTGCTGTTGTCTTTGCAATCAGTGAGACTAGAGACATTGCGCTGCACGACATGAATAAACATCTCAAACATTTCAGATACGCTCTTGGCCAAGTGCTAGGGTGCCTGTCAGTAAGGCAGAGCGACTTCAAAAGCGCCAGGCAGAAATAGGAACGGCCCTTACTCTTTCCTCTGAGCTACTTTATTTCTCTTTCAGCCACTCTTTCTATTATTTCTATTTCAGTTACTGGTTGTGTACAACAGACTGTGTTTTTTACCTTCTCTGCCCTTTCTTAAACTGGCAAATCCTGTCCCTTACAGATAAGGATGGTCTCGAGTCTCTGCCAAGCAGCAATTAAACGTGCCGCAGACGCACCATGTCAGCAACCAGCCAGCTGATGAAGTTTGAGGGCTGCGTGTTGCCGTTGTCATAGCTAGTGTTTTACCCTGAAAGTAAAAGGAGAATCAGATCAGAGCTCTGGAAGCGGTTATAACTTGATGCATAAAAACCTTGAGGCGAGGGAAGTGTCTTCTAGCAGCTCCCCGTTGAGTCCCGTCTCCTTTCTACTCACAATCTATGGAGTTTCTCCATCCTCCACAAAACGTAATTTTGTAGCAGTCATGCATCCTTTACCAAACTCTATGTGGTAAAGTTAAATTTGATTTTGGTTACAGTTTTAATAAGTTTTTTGGTAAATAGTCCGTGTCTCAACTTTGCAATATCCTCCCTTCTGGAAAGACCTAAACCTTGTGCTCGCCGGTCTGGTCTGGGGGTTGAAGTAGACTCACAAAAAAGGAAAAATTGTCAACATCCCTGTTGCAGCCTGTGAGAAGACTGGTGTGGACAGAGTAATTTGTGTCTCACGTAAATTTAGCATAACTTCCACTGGGCTCAGCAGAGAAAGAGAAAGAAGAAAACCTTTGGGCTGATGACTGGGAATGTTAGAGTTGGACTGTCTTCTGGGGTTAAGCCAGACCTTACATGGATCCTGCAGAGTAGCAAGGATATCTGAACTGTCGCATTGCATCACGCCTAAAATTACTTACCTGGTAATCAGCTTGCTTTGTACTGGTTACAACAGCAATACCATTTACTTAAGGAAAGCGTTTAAGAAGTGGGATACACTCAGAACGCTCTGCTCCCTGACATGCCTGCCCAGCTCTGGCCATCAGTGGTTTAAAGATTTTAGGGAAAGGAGAAGCTGTTTAGTGAAAGTCTGCAGGACGATTTGGTGTCAGAACATTTAGTAGCTGTGATACGGCAGAAAGTCAAGGGCAGCAGCTGCCTCTGCGTTCCCCACCCCCTCCAAAACCAACCCCAGCAACAACAAACAAAAAACTCCAAAAACACATGAAAGCAACAACTCTCTAAGCAAAAAATACACACTTTCCACCTTTTCACCATGGTCATCCCTGTATCAGCTTGGGTTTTCATTCCTCCGCAGGCTGAAACGCCAACAGAGGTCAGGAAGGAGATCCTCACTTTCCACCATGAGGGCTTCTTCTGGCGGTGCTGGTTCTTTGGCAAGGGCCACCCGGAGACCATCTGGACCTTCTGGTACAGTGAGTATGATGCCACTGCACCATATCCGCAGCATTCACTCACAGTTTGAATTGCAAACGAGCGCAAGAAGGGCTCCCAGGGATGAGGAGATGGTTGTCTTTATTTAATTTTTTTTTCATTCTCATTGTCTCTCTCTCACAAAAGCGAACTTGGCTCACCCTTTCTGTGCTCTTTTTTTGACTTGGATTTTTCTCTCAGAGGGTTCTTCACAGAAATGTATGATGCCATTTAATATACCACCTACAAAGTCTTATGGAGTGGTTGGTTTCCACCAGCAAGGACAACTGTTCCCCCACACCTCTTCATGTCTGTGTTCCGCTAAGGTCTGCTAAATTTGAGCCCACACCTTTCCTGGCCATTGGCATTACTCTTCTGTCAGCGTTTTCAGCCATCGGGGTGCTGAGCATGCCCACCTCCTGCTGATTTCAGCACAGGGAAGGATGGACGTGTACCCATGTGGTCTCCCTGGGTGCTCAGGACCTCTAGCAGTGGGCACTGGTGGGCCATGGAGAGCTGTAACCACATGTTTTTATGCTTTTCAGCACACAAGACCTTTATTTTAAGATCTTGCCTGTTTTGCTTTTTAAGGTCATTGAATTTACGCGTATGAATAAACAGAGATGGATGCAAAATCTTTTTTTTTTTTTCCCTGAAAGCACATTCACTCTTCAAAAAAAAAAAAAAAAAGGAGGAGGTGAAACCTGTTCTGAGACACCAGTTGGTGCTGACTGGTGGCCCACGTGCAGTGAAGTGTGGGGTCTTGGCCCAGTGAACCAGGTGCTCCCACCAGAAAGAGCAAAGGAGTGAGACCACCCCACAACACGCCTGGCACCAGCCCTGCCGGCGTCCGAGCCAGCATCCAGCTCGCCTGCATTAATGCACGGTGGATAATTAGAGGACAGCCTTTCCCTGGAATGCCACAGCCCTAGATGAGTACTGGGCATAAAAAAAAGCGATTTGAAATAAGTTCTGCAGAGGTTTTAACCACCGCATAGACCCTGTGCTTGCTGGTGCTTCGGTCCGCTCAAAGACACTTAGGAGTGTCTGGAGCAGCGTGGTCATCTCGTAGGGCATTTGGCTGCAAATAATGCAGGTTCCCACAATAAATTTAGTCCACAGTGATTAAAATTTCAGATGACTTTGCTGTCCCACAGTCCCTGGCCTGTGTTTCCTGTACAATCTTGCAGGAACAGTTCCTGCCACTGTCCAACTGAAAAACATCAGATTTTTCACACAGAAATTTTTTGATAAAAGAGGACAGGCTTGAGAGAGGGAGTTTGCTATCTAATTACATTATATGGAAATACATGATACAATATAACGTTACCTGAAGTAAAATGACTCTTTCTGATAACTGGCAAATTTGTATTACTTCTTTAGGTATTTATTATAATAGGATTGATCATGGCAAATTAATTTGCTGCTCTCATGGACGTAATAATTAATTCAATAGGTATTCCATAGTCAATTTAGCATGAACTAATGTCCACCTATTATAAAGTGTTCCTTTGAGCTGGGGAACATATTTAAATAAGTGGCCAACCATTAATTAATTCATTTAACATTCATTCTATTACCGTTAATCATGATAAGCCTCACTGGTATTAATATTGATGGAGCACTTCCATTCTAATTGTGCTTTCCCTTCTCACAAACTGGAGGTCTTGTTAAGGTGGCTTGTTTTGGTACCCAAATACTTTTGCCCCTTCCAGGTGGTCTGACACATTTTCTGGATGAAAACAGCAGTGGGATTATTTACACTGATTTCAGTTGCTCCCTCTTTCGTGATTTATGTCCACCTCAGACTCAGGTTATGAAGATGAGAAGATGTATGGGGGAGCAGTCTCAGATCCTGTTATATCTCCTCTCTCATCATTCTTCTTTTTTTTTTTTCTTTCTAACCAGGATTTACTATCCTTCTATACTCCCCAGCCTTCTGATTTCAGTGAGGGTTTTATAGGTTTTGCTGAATAGTACGTTGCCATCTGAATACTATAACTGTAATTTTTGCAGAAAATAAAAGCAAACAGGGATTTGTTGTTGTTGTTCTTTTTCAGCCAGCCAAGCACACCCCAAGTTCTGCATGCATGGCTACCTCTTTCCCATGCCCATCGCTCTCGGACCTTTCCCCCATCCTTCCTACGACACAACCGCAGGTGAGTTTCTTCCCTGCTCCCCCAGCAGCTCCTTTCCCAAGCGATCGGGCAGAGATTTACGACGTGTGTCAGTGCTGTCGTTGTCCCGCTGGAAATGCATGTGGCCGAGCATGGCCGAGACTTTTGGAAAGCTCCTTTACAAAATGGCCTTGCGTAGTTGACTGCCCCAAGCCGTGAGCACATCCAGATGTTCTCCTACGTCTTCTGTCCTCCAGAGCCAGCCATGCCTGGCCATGAGCCATGCACCCACCCACCGGTGCGCGGTGCCTACTCCTATGAGCAAGGGAGGATGCTGGATCCAACCTCTCCCTTCTCCCACCTTCTTGCTCGCTGGTAGGAGCTTGGAGGCAAAGGGCTTCAGCCCCATGGCCAAATCCAGACCCTGCGGGCAAGCAAGAAAAATAATTTCTCCTGGGCTGCAGGCTTGTGGCAGCCCAGTGCTGACTCGTTTCCAGACTCTGGCTTCCTGGGAGGACTCTAGTGTTGATTTGTTGCAAGACAAAATAAACAAACACCGGAAAAATCAGTTAAAGACCAAATAGTTAGGAGATCCGCGTAAGTGACTGGCTTATTTTTAATACACTGAATATGACACAGTTGGAGAGCTCTCCTTTCAACTGATTCCCTTTTTATTTATGTTTCTCTGTATTTTCAGAGTTCTTTAATGAATCAGCTGCTGTTAGGAATTTTAATTTGCTAAATTGGTGGCAGCAGCTAGAATTAATTCAATGATCTTTTTTGAAATGAATTGATTTCTTTAAATAGTGTGCATCACTCTGCGTTGCCTCTGGGGATCTGGGGCAGGCATACTGCATAAACAAACATCTTGACCTTTTCCTTAGCCTTTAGCAGTACCTTTTTTATTTTTATTTTTATTTTAAAGAGGAATTAATTTAAAAAAAAAATATATTGTCAGTAGGAGCGTGTGAGGGAGAGCAGCTAGTTTCTTTTGCTGTGCTGTGCAAGATTCCTGCCTCGGGGAACATGCCGTAGTGTAAAATGGATACGAGGGACCTGTCGATGGTAGAAGGAGGAGCCCGTTGCAGGCTGTGTGCAGCAAACAAGCGGGTTAAGCGATGGGATTTTTCTGCTTAGGACAGGCAGGCACGATGTCTAGTTTCTGAATGATCTCGCTGATAAACACACTATTTTTTTCCGTACTAAATAAAGGGCCCTGGATGCATCTGTCCCTGCCTGTCAGCCCTTGCTATGAAACCCTCTCCAGCTGCCTCTCAGAAACGGCCTTCGGGACGGGAAGGTGCAGGGGACGGGCTCTGTGCGGGGGCTGCACCCCGGGGTGCTGCGGGGCTCTGCAGGCACCCACCCCGCTATGATCCCCGGGGAGACGGGGATGTCTCAGCACCCACATTTAGGGCTCCTCTGCTGCACCAACACCTCTGCGAAGCATTCGGGCGGCTGCAGAGAGCAGACACTTCTGTCGTTAATGCTCATTTTATTTCAAACCAGTCCATCCTCGTATGCAAATGCTGACAAAACAGGAGGCTGTCCAAGAAGAGGGGTCCTCCAGCTATTACCTGCTCCAGAGATAATTCTGCCTTATCTGCATCCTCTTAGCCTCCCTGAGAGAAACGGGTGACGGGAGGTTAAACATGAAAATGAATTCTGTGGTTTTTGGAGAGTTCAAGATACTTATCTCTCCCTAAGTGGCTCTCCTGACAAAATGGTTTCAAATGAGCAAAACGCATCTTCTCTGTATCATTTTTCTTTCAAGTGTGAATCATTTCAGCATTACCCATTTGCTCGTGCTCAGCTTAAATCTCTTTAACTAGCACTTCTGAAAAACAACAGGCAGAGCGAGACGCAGGGGGAGCGGAGTATCAGAGGGGGTCTGCCTGAAGACCACCACCTCTGGCCAAGGTTTAGGACAGTGACTGGAAGAGACTTGGCTGCCAGGAGACTGAAATTAGTGGGCTACGTCCCATCCTGTGGGATGTGATGGACGCAAGCTTGCTCGGCTCCGGCTGGCGTGGTTGTATGAAGTCACAGCAAAACCCCCAAATTCCGTGGATGAAGAGGCAGCTGCTCTCTTGCCCTGGTCTCTTACTTGGAGTCAAGCAAGGCCATTAATGGGGGAAATCATGAGCTCCCGTTTTTCCCTGCAGTCCTGCTAACAAAAACCACCTTTATTTTAAACTGGGAACCTGGCACCTCCTGTAAGTGTTAATTAAAATGGAACAAAGATGTGGTCTGATTCCATCTCTCCAAATTCCATCTCTATTTTCTTTCCTTTCTTGCCAAGCTCGTCCATCCCCCACAGGCACAGCTAAGCACGGTGTCCTTTGCTCTCACCCCCTTTTGTGGCGTGCTTCCCTGGCAAACCCTTCCACCCCCTTGTTCTCATTCCAATCCCATTATGTAGGGCACGACATTCAACCTGAACTTGCACCGGTTCCAGGCACGTTGCAACCCATGCCGCGGCAGGGAGTTAGCAAAGCAGGAGCTCCGGCTCTGCCTAACACGAGCAGCGTTGTAGGTTATCGCTTATAACGGTGCTGAAGCAGGAGTTAAGCGTGGACTGAAGAAAACCGCTTATCCTCTCTTTTCCCCTGACTTTACTCTTTTTAACCGTGCAGTGTACAGAGGCTTCTGGACGGCGTTCATCATGCTGGCCGTCGCCGCCGGGCTGGTGGGAGGGCTGCTGCTGGTGTGCGGCGTGCCCTTCGTCAGCCCCCGGTCCTACAAAGTTGGAGGCGGATTCCTCCTCGCCTCGGGTAAGCA